GAGTAAGTACACAGTGACTGCTGTTGTTGACTTAACAATTTGACACTCTTGTTTATGGCGTCAGAAATCTCCCTAGGCTCTAGTCATGAGTTGCCAAGGCTATGGAAGCCTTTTGAGTTCGCCGACTTCGATCTTCTTCCGACAGGGTCATAGTCAAAGTGGAAGTTCTCTCCTCCCTTCAGAGAAAGGTACCTCCGTCTTTGATGGCCCCGTTCTTTCCTCTGGAATCTCACTCGCGGAGATCTTTCATTAGGTCTTCTTTTTTTATTATTATTATTTTCATGGCCAAATCCTTAAATTCTTCTTTTCCTTTCATTATAAATAATTTCATTAAGCTATTTCTCTTTTCTCACATTTTACTATATGTAGTTGAGAAGCCATGCAGAAGATGAAATACTTTGCTGCTTGGAGACTTTTTCTGATAAAATAAGCTAGTTTATTCCTCCTAAATTCTGCTTTTCATAAAGCCCTCAGGCAAGGACACAGTTTAGCCAGGTTCTTTGGCTCTTTTAACAAGAATGGCCTTTTCTCCTGTTTCAAACATCTCATTCCTCGTTTCCATCTAAGATTTGAGAATTGCTCTTTACTTCATCAGAATTATCTTTACACTCCATATTTCTATCAAAATTCTGATCATAGTCATTTAAGTAATCTCTAGGAAGTTTTAGATTTTCCCTGAGCCCTAGCAATAATTGTCCTTAATCCTCCATTCCTGGAAATATAGTGCTTCTCTAGCCTATTGCTTCAAATTCTTCCAGCATTTACCCATTACCTACTTCAAAAGTTACTTCCATAATTTTATGTATTTGTTACAGCAACATCACACTTATCTGGTACCAATTTCTGCCTTAGTCTAATTTGTGATGTTGTTAACAAAATAACTGTTGCCAAAGTATTTATATTGAACAGGAATTTGTTGGTTCACACTTTTGAAGGCTAGGAAACCCAAGATCACAATGCTGACATCTGGTGAGGATCTTCTTCCTACATCAATACTTGTGGATGGCAGAAAGGAAAAAAGGCAAAATAGGACACATCTTTCACTGACCAATTATCTTTTTTGTTTTTCAATTATCTGGCACCCATTATGGGATGCTGGTGTCACAGGCCATGGCTTAACACATGTCACCATGACACCAGCCCCAAACAACATGAGTTTAGAGGGGACATAGCAAATGATTGACTATTACAGCAATCCAATAAAGATGTGAGGAAGACAAAATCAGGCAGAGCTGGCAAGGGACAAATAAGAAATGGGTTTAAGAGGATAAATTGAAAAGATACAGTGCATGGGGCCAGTGTTGTACGGTGGGTTAAGTCACTGCCTGCAACACCAGAACTCCATATGGGTGCTGGTTTGAGTCAGGCCTTATCTAGGTCCAGTCAAGCTCCCTGTTAATGCTCCTGGGAAAACAGTAGAAGATGTTCCAAGTGTTTTGACCAGAGCACCCATATAGAAAACCACATGAATCTCCTGACCATTTGGAAGATTCTTTCTCTTTCTCTCTCTCTCTCTCACTGCCTCTGCCTCTGCCTCTGCCTCTCCCTTCAAAATAAATAAATAAAACTTTTTAAAAAGGAAAAACATATAGTATATTAAGTTCATCTTAAGAAGAAAAGGGATGAGTAGGACACCCATTGCCTAGAAGTACCACAGTATCATTTAGCAGGACAGAAATTGAGTGAGGAAGGGAAACCTGAACAATGTATTAAGTTGAAACATGTAAAATCCTATCTCATTTGTGATCCAAGGATATGTCATTAAGAAAATTAAAAGAGAAAGCATAACACTGATGAGATATTGGGTACCGGAGAACATTTAGTCTATATACAAAGATGTAGATGACATAAATAGTTTTGCATGTAACAAAGAAAATATTAAGTAAGAAAAGAGAAAGTGTAAGAAGTGGGGTAGATGTTGTGGCTAGTGAGTTAAGCTGTTGCTTAAGGAGCCTGCATCCAACATCACAGTACCAGTGTGAGTACCAGCTCTACTACCTCTGATGCAGCTCCTTGCCAATGCAATTCAGAGGGAGGATATCATGGCACAAGTACTAGGGTTTTTGTCACCCATATGAGAGATTCAGATGGAATACTTGGCTCCTAGGCTTTGGCTTGGTCCAGCAGACTTTTGGAGTGAACCAGCAAGTGGAAACTCTCTCTATTCTCTGCCTCTCCCTCTCACTCTGTTACTCTGCTTTCAATTAAAAAAAATCAACCTCATATGGAAAAGACACAAAAGTGATGCATATAACTCTGACCTCAGAATCAACCCTTAAGGCATTCTAGTATGGTAGAAAGGCCCATGAGATTGTGGTAAAAAATGTCCTACATGAAGGACTTCAGTGGCTGAGATGCCATTCAAAAGAAATGGTCATTAAGAAGGACGTACTTTTCTCTGAAGGGAAGAGAGAACTTCCACTTTGCTTATGGCCTTGTCTAAATACTGACAGAGAGGCCGGCAATGTGGCATAGCAGGAAAAGCCACCAGCTGCAGTCCTGAAATCCTATATGGGAATTGGTTCAAGTCCTGGCTGCTCCACTTCTGATCCAGCTCTCTGCTCTGCCCTGGGGAAAGCAGTAGAAGATGGCCCAAGACCTTGGGCCCCTGTACCTGCATGGGAGACCCAAAGGAAGCTCCTGGCTCCTGGCTTCAGATCAGCTCAGCTCCGGCTGTTGCGGCCAGTTGGGGAGTGAACCAGTGGATGGAAGACTTCTCTATCTCTGCCTCTCCTTCTCTCTCTTTCTGTAACTCTGACTTTCAAATAAATAAATCTTTAAAAATACATACATACATACATACTGACGGAGTTTCTGGCTTCAAAGGCCTCTAAAGCCTAGGCAGCTCATGTCAAGAGCCTCAGGTGATCACTGACCTCATACATAAGAGTGTTAATTGTTAAATTAACAATAGGAGTCACTGCGCACTAACTTCCCATGCAGAACCTCTGTCCTCAAAAAGTTGTATTATGAGAATTAATAGTAAAACTTGTTCTCAAAGATTTATTTCATTTTAGTGTATTACATGGAGGATATTCTTATGTCATAAGTTTTAGTTATGCCTAAGTGTCCAACTCTATTGCTGTTTTCTTAGGTGCTTCCTTTTTTTTTTCTTTTGTTTTTTAAGATTTATTTTATTTATTTGAAACACAGAGTTAACATAGAGAAGTAGAGAGAGAGATCTTCCAACCACTGGTTCACTCCCCGGATGGCCGCAATGGCCAGAGCCGTGCCAATCTGAAGCCTCGCCAATCCGAAGCCAGGAGCCACAAGCATCTTCCAGGTCTCCCATGTGGGTGTAGGGGCCCAAGGACTTGGACCATCTTCTACCACTATCCCAGGCCATAGCAGAGAGCTGGATCGGAAGAGGAGGAGTCGGGACTATAACCGGCACTCATATGGGATGCCAGCATTTCACGCCAGGGCTTTAACTGGCTAAGCCACAGCGCCGGTGCCGAGGTGCTTCCTTAATTAATGATCAAATGAGTTCTCAGGGACTTACATTCTTTTAATGTATTAAGTGGAGGATATTCCTATGTCTCATAAGTTATAATTATGTCTAAGTGCTTGCAAAGGATGTATCATTCATGGGTGCTTCTTTGAAGTTAATTAAGTTTCTAAAAAAAAAAAAATGAAAGGAAATTAACTTCAAGATGCAATGACTTTGAACAGCCCTTGTCTCCACTGTTGAGGAAAAGTTGTGTGTGTGTGTGCAAATTGTTGAACTCTTTTAGTATAGAGTTGGTCTTCTGTGTATAAAGTTAATTGAAAATGGATCTTAGTGGAGAATGGGACTGGGAATGGGAGAGGAAGGAGGATGAGGGGTGGGAGTGTGGGTGGAGGGGAAGGTATGATGGGAAGAATCACTATATTCCTAAAGTTGTACTTATGAATTGAATAAAGTTTGTATTCCTTAAATAAACCTTTATTAGGGGAAAAAAAGTCATCATGGCATCCTTATGAGGATTTTCCTCACAATATCCTGGACATAAAAATGCATCAATCTCTCAATTCTCTGTATCATAGTAAAACACATGCTACTGTGGTTAGTTATTAGGATGTTGCCTCTATTACATATCTACCTACCTGGGAAAATGACCATTTCTTTTTAGATCTTTATGTCCATGTAATGCCAAAGAAAATTTACAGAGTCAAAACAACAAGAATTGATGGATGCAATTACTAGTAATGAAATTGTTAATTTACTAATAAAAAGTGATGCATATAAAAGGGCAACAAAAGAAATACGTATTATTAAACACCCTAAGAAAAATTCATAGAGAGGTAGTAATAGAACCAGCCAACACAGGCTTTACAGAAACAAATAGAAGTAAGTTAAGTGATAGGTACCATTACTCCTGTTTGAAAAATAAACATCAAGCTTTCAAACTCACACACATTTCAAAATCATTTCAAAGGTGAACAGTCTCCATGGAATTGATTCTGTGAAATAAGTACCAAACTCAAACTCAGGCTAAGCAGCAACTCACCCTGGCAATTCAAAAAAAAATAGATTTTGTGAACACCCACAATGATGACTTGCACTTAAAACATGTGTTGGGGCTGGCACAGTGGCTCACTTGGTTAATACTCCGCCTGCAGTGCCGGCAACCCATATGGGCGCCGGGTTCTAGTCCCAGTTGCTCCTCTTCCAGCCCAGCTCTCTGCTGTGACCTGGGAGGGCAGTGGAGGATGGCCCAAGTGCTTGGGCACCTACACCCACGTGGGAGACCAGGAAGAAGCACCTGGCTCCTGGCTTTGGGTCGGCGAAGCGCCAGCCGTAGCGGCCTTTTGGGGGGGGGGGGGGGGACAAACGGAGGGAAGACTTTTTCTCACTGTCTAAATCTATCTGTAAAAAAAAAAAGTGTTGACAAAAAACTTACTTTGAAATAATTAAAGAAAGGAATTATCATTTCTATGCCTACTCCATTGGTCATGAGACTGATACCGCCTTGAGTCAGGAAGCAGTCAGGCTAACTGAATTCCTGTATTCCACACAGCCATGGCCACAGCAGGACACACCCATGATGAACATCTGCTCAGAGATGGAAGGAAGCAAGATCTCCAAGAGATGCTGAGAGAAGCTGGACTGGCTGTTGAGTACTGGTTGCCAAAGCTGCAGGAACACTTAGGTGTGACCTCTGCCCAGGCCTTGCAACACCTTGGTGAAGAGGACCTCCAGAAGCTGAAATCCCAGGCACAACATCCATGGGAGAAAAGGGCCCTGGAGAAACTGCTGGAACTGTCACAGTCTGGTCTTTCAGAGTCAGAGCAGTCTTCTGTGGAGCTGATAAACCAAAAGCAGATGCAGGCACAACAGGCCCTGCAGGGACTGAGAGACTTGCTGTCAGAAGGTAGGCAGAGACAGGAAGAGGCAGTGAGGAGAAGGGAAGCAGAGCTGAGGCAAGCAATGGAGATCCCTGAGGAATACTTGCCACCACCTGAAAAGCCCCCTCAGGAAGTCATGGAAAACTTGCAGAGACAACTCAAGGTCACAGAAGGGACACTGTCCCACAGGCAAAACCTCCCAGATAGAGATCTGGTGAGATGGGCATCTGGAGGGCTGGCCCTGCAGGGAATTTTCAAAACCAGCCACCAAAGGGGTCTGCTGGAGAAGAGAGAGGAGCTACTCAGTGTGCCCAAGGAGTTCTCACTCTTTGGCCCTGAGCAGAGTACATGGATGGAAACAAAAGAATTCACCTCTTCTCAAGCACAGTCCATGTTCACTCAGAGTATAGAGAAGCTGGGCTTCAGCTTAACTACATCTGCTAAGGGTGGAGGTTGGGGATTTAGTCTAGAGGCTGGTATGGATCACAGAAAACACTCAGAATCCAAGGAAATCCGAAGATCACATTGTGAGCACTCTTATTTTTGCTCAACCAAGTTCAGCTATATCCCCTTGGCCTCCTGCCACTTCTCCATGGATCAGCTCCAGTTATCCACGGCTGCTCTACAGGAACTGAAGTGCATTGAAGACCTCCTGGATCAGTCTACTGGCCCAGACAAAATCCGCATGCTGAGGTGCAGAACTGAAAACTTCTTCCACAGGTTTGGCTCTCATGCTAACCAAGGCCCTCTGCACCTGGGAGGCATCTACTGGTGGAAGGCCATTTCAGAAGGTTTCCAAAGTGGGCAACTGGAAGAAGTGAAACAGCAGTCAGCCGAGGCCCTGGATAGCTACATCATGGGCAGCTACAGTGGCTTTGGAGTGAATGTTGTTGCAGGTGGGAATGTGTCCAACATGCATTCAAAAACAGACTCTCAGACAAAAACTGCCCAAAATCTCCAAACCAAAGTGCAATTGTCTGTGGCCCAGACAGGTGGCCCACCAGAAGCAGATGGATTCGTGCAATGGAAAGCTGGCCTCGTTGCCAGCAATCAAACCTGGTGTGTCATTGATCGGGGACATCGGCTAGTACCCATTTGGGACATCATCCTCTTTAGCCACAGAAATGATTTTAGGAATGCCCTCCAGGTGGCTAAGTGCCTGGAAGACACCTATGCTGCTGTGACGAGCCTAAATGTCCAGATCCAGGATGGGGAGGAAATACTGAGTGCTGGGAAGGAGGCTACAGTTTTCCTAGAAGATGTGAAATCCTGGGAAGTATCTGATCCTGAAGAGCAGCTTAAAAAATTAATAAATTTCATGCAGATGCTGAATCAAAAAGTGAAAGGTTATGACATGTGGATTAACACATGTCTTACAAATTGGGATCTGCAGAATTTTCTAGTAAAAACCGTAAGTTTTTGCAAGAAGTTCCCCACTTATAAAACAAAATTTATTAAATCTCAGTTGCGCAGTCTTCTGGATCCACACATCTACAAAGTGACAAACTTTCCTGAGGCTCACTCCATCATGCAGTGGATCTTCCAGGCAGAGACTGAGCCAGAGCAAGTTACTATCTCCCAATTTTCTGAATTAGTTAAAATTCTAACAAAAACATACGATGAACTCATGGACTTGAAGTTCAAATCTGAGTCCCCAGAGACAGTAGAAGACGCTCACAGAAAGGCCAATTATGAAATCAGCTTGGCTCTCAGCTGCTTCTTAAATTACCTCCAAGAAGCAGGACAGACAGACACACACCTCTTGTTACTTTCCATTGCAGCTGCTGCAGGATATCAAATGGTACACAATACTTTTCAGTGTTTGGGGAGTGACGAGATAAACTTCCTACTGAATGAAATGCAGGCTGCCCAGAATAAATACCAGGAGCTCAAAAGTATTTGCAGCTACAGGGCTCAGGCATTCCTGATGCTCACAGGTCTGACAGCCACAGTTGGAGTCACAGCTATTTCTCCAGAAGAGAAAAAACAACGCCTGGCATTAATGAGACAACACATTGGACAATCATTGTCTGAAGAGGTTGCCCATGTCCTCACCAAGCCTAGAGTAGATGATGATTGGCAGAATCTAGAGAAAGACCTGAGGTTGCTCATTGATGGGGATTATGAAGCCACAAAGCCAACTTTGCAAATGGATGACGTGAGAAAACAATTGGAAAATATCGTCCATGAGAAGAAACAACCCCATGAACCACATGAAAATGAAAATACAAAAAGGGAGGTGATAGAAAATGGACCCTTCCTAGACCTACTGCAGCGGCTAGGCTTAGAGCATTACTACCCAAAAAGAATGAGCAGAGCTAACTTCCATCAGATCTACAACACTTCTGTGTGCAACTCCCAGCCCAGCTCTGAACAGGACCTTCCCTTTTATTTCCTGCAGAAGCTGCTGATGCTGGATTACAGCCTGAGACACCTGGTCTTCAAAGATGATAGAGACACAGATCACCAGGTTGACTCAGGAGCTTCCAATCAAGAAAATGAGGATTCTGATCCATATGAAGACTTTTTTAAAGATGGACCTAGTTCCACTAAACCTTCAGCCACAAAGTCATACCAGCCCACTAAGACTCACATTCACCCAATGGATATTCAGATGGCAATTTTTCACTGTGCAGATGATTTTGCCAGGCAATATATTTTAACCAAGCTTTCCATTTGTCAATTTGCCCTCCCCCTTCTGGTGCCAAATCCGTGCACTTCTCAAATTGAATTCTCCCTCTGGTCTCTCAGGCAAATCAGGAGAAGTTGGCAGCAAGTCAGCAAATCACTAGCTGGGAAGAACAATTACAAGAATCAACAGATGTGTTGTGTCTCTACCTCCATTGTGTCCTTCATTAGAGTTGGAAATGGCTTATCTGCTTCCAAATCTCAAGTCATGAACTGCATTCTAAGTAAACATAAACATGATGTGTTTTTTCACCGCCACTGCAGAGGAAGTACAAAAGACTGTCTCTTGATGGGGGGTGTAGTGGAAATCTACTGGTTCTGTCCTGGAGCGGGGAATGAGAATAGATTTGACAACTGTGTGACCTTCGCCAATCTTCATGGAGATGCAAAGGAACACAAGAGGCAGATCAGCTTCCTGCAGGAAATCTCTTCTCTCATTGTGGTCCTCATGTCTGTTTCTGATGACAATGAAGAAAATCGGAAGATTGTCCGTGATCTATACAAGTCATCAAGGCCCTTGATCTTCTTGCTTGATGACAAAGAAAAAACCATGGCCAAAAACCCTGGTCAAAAAGTGAGTATTGGCATCAGGAACAGAAATGAGGCAGAATTGACAGAGGAGATCACAACTGCTATCCGACGTTTGTTACAACCCATTACCACTGCTCTCAGCTTAGAGGACTGTTCCCAAATTGCTCGCAAGCAAGGATTCCTTATTGACGAAGACCAGAGAGACTGCAAGGAAGCCAAAAAAAAGGCACAGACGACACTGGAACACCTGTCAGCAATGAAGTTACCTCAGATTAAGGAAAACGTACTGCCCCTTCAAGGACATCTGTGGCAACTTTGGTGTAAGAAGGACAAAGAACTCTACCATCTGAGAGAGAAGGGGAATCGGAGCATTGAACAACACAAGAGTGACATTGAAACCGAGAAGCAACAAATAAGGCAAGATCAATTGAAGAGGGCATTTCCCCTCAATACTTTCATGCAATCTGTCCTTGACATTCTCCAAGAACATACAGGAACTCAGACCAAACGCTTCTTCTTACAGTGGCTGAATATGTTTTTGGAAACTTTGACTGCAGGACACTTAGAAAAACTGTGTGAGAGACAAAGATCACTGTGGTTTCAGCCACAAACAGAAAAAAAGATGTCCAACAGTAACTCTCCAAGTGACTTGCAAAATGCAATAGAAGCCATTTCCAAAGAGATTAGTAATTGTACGCTGGGAATTGATCAAATACTCAGAGAGGTTGGCCAGATCTATGAAGCTCTGGAAGAAGCTTCTAACACAAGGGATACTCTCTTTCTCCACCTTCCACAAATTGCTGCAGATCTGATGATATCTGGTGTTCCCATTGAGCTGATGGATGGGGATACTTCATATGTGCCTCTAAAGTGGGTGGTAGCTGTTTTTGACAAGCTTGCTGAGAAACTTGGAGACAAAAAGGTGTTTGTTCTCTCCATCCTTGGCCTGCAGAGCTCAGGGAAGTCCACTCTGCTGAATGCACTTTTTGGGCTGCAGTTCACAGTCAGTGCAGGCAGGTGTACACGGGGAGCCTACATGCAGCTCCTGAAGGTGGAGGAGAAAATCACAGGGGAACTTGGCTTTGACTTTGTGCTTGTGGTGGACACTGAAGGCCTCCGGGCACCAGAGTTCAGCAATAAATCCCAGATCCGAGACAATGAGCTGGCAACCTTTGTCATTGGACTAGGAAACTTGACTCTGATCAATATTTTTGGAGAGAATCCATCAGAGATGCAGGATATCCTACAAATAGTTGTCCAAGCCTTTCTGAGGATGAAACAGGTGAAAATCTCACCAAGTTGCCTGTTTGTCCATCAGAATGTGGAGGAAGTTACAGCTGAAGATCAAATGATGGAGGGACGAAGGCGAATGCAGCAGAGACTAGATGAAATGGCAAAATTAGCAGCAGAACAAGAACAGTGCTCAGACATAAACCGTTTCAGTGATGTCATTAAGTTTGATGTCAACACTCACGTGTACTATTTTGCTCACCTCTGGGATGGCAATCCCCCAATGGCCCCTCCTAATCCTCACTACAGCCACAATGTCCATGAACTAAAAAGCACAATTCTTACGACTGCCAAAGAGGAATCCAAGGGAAACATCATGAAGATATCAGATGTAAAATTCCGTATTCAAGATTTGTGGAGAGCTCTGGTGAGTGAGAACTTTATTTTCAGTTTTAGAAACACCAGGGAGGTCATGGCTATGAGCAAACTGGAAACTATGTATAACCACTGGACCTGGCAACTGAGGAGTCATGTGCTGAACTTGCAGAACCAACTCAGAAAACAGATCGAGAATGGAAAAATCCAGACACTCACAACTAACATAATACAGGCTCCAGTTATAGAAAAATATGAAGACATCAAGCAAGAATTTGAAAAGTTTTTTTGTGAAGATCCAGAGAGTGAAATACTGATTCAATGGAAAGTAAATTTTGAACATAAGCTCACTATGCTTAAAGAGACACTTATTTCAGATAGCCAAAGCAAAGCTAATGAACTTATCAGTTTAAAAGAGAGTCAAGAAAGGCTGAATAAGAAAATGATAAATTATGAAAGAGAACTATTGGAAAAGAGCAGGAAATTGGCTTTAGATTTAAAGGATAAAGAGTTAAGTGAGAGAGAGTTACAGGAGAAATTTAATGAACTATGGGTAAAATGGGTCTATGATGTGCCCTCCAGCAACAATCAAGTCAAAGAACCTACCATTGATTCGGACTTTGAAAGTATACCTTTAGATCATTTTTCAAAAGAGACCAATTTGGTGCAAGCACTGATGAAAAATCCTAGAAAGAAGTTTGAAATCAATTATGATGAACATGTCAAAATGAGTAAGAGATACTACTTTTTCACAAACCATTTAGAGACCCATGATAGAGAGTCAATAAAAATGACTCACGAACACATTATTAAAAAATTTAATGCAATTATTAACAAATATTGGAGGGAATATAGTGATTATGATCCAAGTTATTTCCATGAAATACTGAAGCTAGTAGATGATGAAGTGAAAAAGGGAACTACAGAGGAAAGATACACATTTACAAGAAAATATATCATTGAATTAACTTTGTGCTTATTCAAAAGAGCATCAGAGGAATTTAAGGAAATACACAAGGCATTTAAGAGAGCCAATGATCCTGTGTACTATCTAGAATGTAGGAAAGATAATTTCTTCATGAGTTTTAAAATCTCCTGCCAAGGAGCAACTTCCATCACAACATTTGTTGATTTTCTGTGGAACAAGCTAACTCCAAGTGTTGGCAGCTCCACACTGGAAAATATGAGCCTTAAAATTGCTGGAGACATGAGAAATAATTGCCCTGAATTCAATGGAAACAGAGCTAACTTAGAGAAACACATTCTCATCTCTCTGGCAGAGGAAGAAAACTTTGAAAAGTACTGGCAATACCTTCATGATCCAGAATCATTTTTTAGGAGTTACATTGAAACTGAAATCATAAAATACTGTTCAGGAACAGGGAGAAAAAAAATAAAGACTCTTTTAAAAATAAGTTTAGAAGACATCAAGAATGCCCTCCTTTGTTCCATTCACGAATCCACAGCAGAAGCTAAAGACAAAAACAGCACCGCATCTGAGTGGCTGGATCTATTCTGTGGTCTCCTGGAGAGCAAACTGATGTTTCCACGAAGTGACTTGATAAGCATTGAACACCAGGAGATTAAAGACATGGAATTTCTCAAGGAAGCCATGAGTGCAGCTTTGGATCCTGCAATGAAGAAAGTAGAAGAAGAATTTTTGAGGATGCCTGGAGAAGTACTGGTTCCTCCAGTTGTGCAAATGCTCTCTAAACAACTCTGTGGCTGCTGGAAACAATGTCCCTGCTGTGGAGCAATCTGTACAAACACAATTCCTACTCATGAGGGAGACCACAGTGTTCCCTTCCACCGCCCTCAGGCACTCAAGAAAGTTACATGGGATGAAACAGACAACTTTGTCATTGATTGCTGTACTAGTTTGGTGTCAAGTGATTGCTTATTAGTTCTCGGTGATGGCAGGAAAATCCCATACAAGACCTATAGAGAAGCAGGAGGGGAATATGCCACATGGAACATCACTCCAGATTCATCCACACAGCCCTATTGGAAATGGTTTGTCTCTCACTTCAGATCAAATCTAGAAGAAAAATATGGGAAAAAATTTACAGGTAAAGGTAAAATCCCTGAGGCCTGGGCCAAAATCACAAAGCAGGCTGTGCTTGATGACTTGAAAAAAGTGTCACACTTAGTGTTAACAAAACAGCCAGCGGAACATCATATTGTCTTCCTTGACCTTGTGGGTGAGTGTGGCCAGAGAGCTCTGTTCAGTTCTTCAGGGATAAGAGTGTGCCTAAGGTGACACACCCAGATTTGGCATGGTAAATCCCTTTCTCTCCCCCCCCCCCCCCATGAAGGCATCATGTTGTATTCTTTATTGTTTCTTGAATTGGTGTGTTTATTTTTTGGCATTTGTGGAGGGACTCATTGGTTTCTTCTTTCTTTTTGGCTGTGGTAGTTTTATCTTTAGACTATGTCTGTGTGAATTAGTGGAGTGTCTGCTTTCATGGAATATCAAAGGGTTGTGGTGAGAGTGGCCAGGGAGCTCTGTTCATCACGCCAGGTTGAAGGCAGTGTTAAGTTGACATCCAGGTTGAGTGTGGTAAATCTCTCTCTTTTTTTTTTTAATCAGAGGGGAAGTTTTTCTGTTCTGTTGGTGAAGACTCAGCACATTTCCTCTCCTCAAAGGAGACCATTGCCTGTGCGCTAGCCCCAGTGGGTATAATATTCATCTGCACGTCCACAAGGACCACACAAAGGATCTATGCAGTCCTCAGTGTAAGCTGAATCCCCAACAATATTCCTCACCAGGATACCAGGTAGCCCTGAGCATGTGCAACCTCCCACAATGACTGCCCAAAGTCCCAGCCACACCCTGAGCCTTCCCACACAGCCTCAGTGTTTTGAAAGCCCCTCAGTCTCAGTGTTTTCACAGTCCTGGGATACAAGCCGTACACAAGCCTCCCACAATCACAAGCACCCAGCCTCCCATCAGTTTTCCTGGCCAGACTCAGGAGTTTCCACTCGGCTGGTTGCTGGGTGGGACATGTGCTGGTGCAGCTGTTATGCATGTCTCTATTAGCTTGTTACAGGATGCCATTGCAGGGTGATCAGGGAGAGAGAAACGCGCCCCCTCCCTTTTTTTCTTCTCTACTTTGGCAAGTACATGATCCCCAACAGGGCTCCAAACTGGATTCCCTCCAGTCATTTCCTGTAGCTTTATCACCAGAGACTTTGGCAGCTGCAGTCTGGTCTTACCTCTCTCCAAGCTGGTACAGAGACTCTCAGTTGCTGGGGCCCTGACTTCTGCACATCCAAACCCTCCAAGTAGGTCTGCTGTGTCCCCCTAATTTGTGTGGAGTTTCCTCTGCCATTTTCTCCCTAACTCTTCTCTGTGACTGCACCTGCACCCTCTCCACTTTTTTTTAACTATCTTCTCCTAGACTAGAGCGGTAAGCTCTGTCCCTACTCCGCCATATTCCCAGGAGCCAAATTTACTTGTTAGAAGAAGTACCTTTTAGAATTACAGACCAATATCCCTGATGAACATAGGTGCAAAAATCCTCAATAAAATTCTGGCCAATAGAATGCAACAACACATCAGAAAGATCATCCACCCAGACCAAGTGGGATTTATCCCTGGTATGCAGGGATGGTTAAAGTGTGCAAGACAATCAATGTGATACACCACATTAACAGACTGCAGAAGAAAAACCATATGATTATCTCAATAGATGCAGAGAAAGCATTTGATAAAATACAACACCCTTTCATGATGAAAACTATAAGCAAACTGGGTATGGAAGGAACATTCCTCAATACAATCAAAGCAATCTATGAAAAACCCACAGCCAGCATCCTATTGAATGGGGAAAAGTTGGAAGCATTCCCACTGAGATCTGGTACCAAATAGGGATGCCCACTCTCACCACTGCTATTCAGCATAGTTCTGGAAGTTCTAGCCAGAGCTATTAGGCAAGAAAAAGAAATTAAAGGGATATAAATTGGGAAGGAAGAACTCAAACTATCCCACTTTGCAGATGATATGATACTTTATTAGGGGACCCAAAGAACTCTACTAAGAGATTATTGGAAATCATAGAAGATTTTGGCAAAACAGCAGGATATAAAATCAATGCACAAAAATCAACAGCCTTTGTATACACAGGCAATGCCACGGCTGAGGAAGAACTTCTAAGATCAATCCCATTCACAATAGCTACAAAAACAATCAAATACCTTGGAATAAACTTAACCAAGGACGTTAAAGATCTCTACGATGAAAATTACAAAACCTTAAAGAAAGAAATAGAAGAGGATACCAAGAAGTGGAAAAATCTTCCATGCTCATGGATTGGAAGAATCAATATCATCAAAATGTCCATTCTCCCAAAAGCAATTTATAGATTCAATGCAATACCAATCAAGATACCAAAGACCTTCTTCTCAGATTTGGAAAAAATGGTGCTGAAATTTATATGGAGGCAAAAGAGACCTCGAATAGCTAAAGCAATCTTGTACAACAAAAACAAAGCCGGAGGCATCACAATACCAGATTTCAGGACATACTACAGGGCAGTTGTAATCAAAAACAGCATGGTACTGGTACAGAAACAGATGGATAGACCAATGGAACAGAATTGAAACACCAGAAATCAACCCAAACATCTACGGCCAACTCATATTTGACCAAGGATCTAAAACTATTCCTGGAGCAAGGACAGTCTATTCATAAAATGTGCTGGGAAAATTGGATTTCCACGTGCAGAATCATGAAGCAAGACCCCTACCTTACACCTTACACAAAATCCACTCACATGGATAAAAGACCTAAATCTATGACCTGACACCATCAAGTTATTCGAGAACATTGGAGAAACCCTTCAAGATATTGGCACAGGGCAAAGAATTTCTGGAAAAGACCCGGGAGGCACAGGCAGTCAAAGCCAAAATTAACATTTGGGATTGCATCAAATTGAGAAGTTTCTGTACTGCAAAAGAAAACAGTCAGGAGAGTGAGAGACAACCGACAGAATGGGAAAATATATTTGCAAACTATGCAACAGATAAAGGGTTGGTAACCAGAATCTACAAAGAGATCAAGAAACTCCACATGATCAAAACAAACAACCCACTTAAGAGATGGGCCAAGGACCTCATAGACATTTTCAAAGGAGGAAATCCAAATGGCCAACAGACACATGAAAAAATGTTCAAGGTCATTAGCAATCAGGGAAATGCAAAATCAAAAGCACAATGAGGTTTCACCTCACCCCAGTTAGAATGGCTCACATGCAGAAATCTACCACAACAGATCTGGAGAGGATGTTGGGAAAAATGGGACACTAACCCACTGTTGGTGGGAATGCAAACGGGTCAGCCACTAGGGAAGTCGTCTGGAGATTCCTCAGAAACCTGAATATAACCCTACCACTCAACCCAGCCATCCCACTCCTTGGAATTTACCCAAAGGAATTTAAATTGGCAAACAAAAAAGCGGGTCTGCACCCTAATGTTATTGCAGCTCATTCACAATAGCTAAGACCTGGAACCAACCTAAATGCCCATCAACGGTAGACTGGATAAAGAAATTATGGGATATGTACTCTTTAGAATACTATACTTCAGTAAGACAACGAAATCCAGTCATTTTGCAACAAAATGGAGGAATCTGGAACACATCATGCTGAGTGAAATAAGCCCAGTCACAAAGGGACAAATACCCATAAGTTCTCCCTGATTGGTGACAACTGACTGAAACACAAAAAGGAAACCTGTTGAAGTGAAATGGACACTATGGGAAACGGTGGACTTGATCAGCATAGCCCTGACTGTTATGAACACTTAATACATTATCCTCTTAGTAGTTTTTTTGTCTGTTCTACTTAATATGACTGGTTTAATTATGTAATTATCACACAGTTATTCTTAAGTGTTGAAAATTACTGAATG